GCAACAATACTCACACTCACTCTTCGTAATGTTCAATCGAATCGGACCAGCTGTAAGAGTAAGTCTTTGTCGTAAATTTTCCAAAAGCGGACGGTAACAGACGCTGAACAGTTCGTAATAATACAAAAATGATGGCCAATAGTCATACAACAGCAGCCGTAGTAAACTTCATATAATGTAATTAGGCCATTAATAATCTCGGTCGCCGCAGAACAAACTTACTACGCTTCATTGTGCGACCGTTTGGCGTCCAACTTTGAGCCTCGTAATCTCGTCCCCAGACGTTGGAAAACTGGTTTCTTCGGTAAAAACGGGAAAAAGGTTTGTAAAAACAGACCTCGCGTTTTGTATAAAGTATCGTTATTTCACAACATAAATACAATACTCGTTTTTGATGTCAAAAAAACGTAAATAATCCGATAATATTGTAATATATTTTGACAATCGGAATTATCTTGTTTCTTGAGGATATTCTATTAATTTTTTATTATGTGTCGGATGGATTTATTAATTTGTGTCGTGAACCTTCAAGGAGACGGGAACTTCCTTTTTTTTATAATTACCGGGTGAACCCTTTATTTTTAAGGCCTACAGACATAAATAAACCAGCGACTGTATTCACCATGACACAGACAGTCTGTGGTTTGTACTTGTTTAACTTTTGTACAGTTTCTGAACAGATATGAGGAGCTGTGATCTACGATACGATACGATATTACTTTATTTCAAATAAAGTAATATCGTATAATACAGTGGCGGCCGCCCCACCTCTTCCCACATTAAAAAGAAAAAAAAGAAAAAAAGATATATATATATTTTTTTAATGAACAAGGTAAATATTATATAATTGGTATCAGTAAAATGTATAATCTACAATAAAATATCGTTTAAATTGTGTTACGATGTCTAAAGTGACTGATAAGTCACATGTTTCCTGCCTGGCCTTGCCGTGTATCATTACCCTCTCTCTCTCTCGTCGTCTGGGCGCTAAGAGAGGAGCCCTCAACCAGTGCAGCAGCAGCCACTAGCAACTGACTGTTGCTATCTTTAAACTATGCCGCCAAAACATAATTTCAGCCAATCAGCGTCGTCAAATCTGATGGTCACAGGGCGCCTACGTCAGCGCCCGGTGCAGTCTGTGAGTTGTTTGGACTCTTATCCAAGGAGACAAAACAGGAAGCTGTCATTCACTCTGGAAGCTAGCATTAGCAGCTAATGAAAACTCAGTTTTTGACATAAAAATTTAATTATGGATTATCAATACTTTTTCAAAGTGACAGAGACATTGGATTAACCTATGGATTAACCTTCAGCCACGTTTTTTTTGTTTTTGCCGCCAAAACATAATTTCAGCCAATCAGCGTCGTCAAATCTGATGGCAGTTTGCTACCTAAAGCTACGTTGTGTGATGCCTGTATTTGCTTACCCTGTCGCGAGTTCTGATCGCTCAGTGATGATACTTATATTTCTAGAATCTGTGGAATCTCAGCTTGTTAGCATAAGCGTGTTTGTGCATATCCGATAAGTATATCGATTGATGTATACCTAGAGTGCGTTAGCATTTTTTACGCTCAGGGCTCATTGAGACGCTTCTTGTGAGACTTGTGTTTTGTTTCGGTAAACATGGTTCATATCATCAGTTAGCTGAGTTTCTTCCTGTTAAATGAGCAGGACACATGAATAGTTTATTACATTTTAAGAAGCCCTGAGACACAGTTTCGTGAGAAAAAAAACGGGGGGAAAAAGCCCCTTAACAGGTTAAATGGGAATTAAATCATTTCAAGTAATTTTGAGTGTTCCCAAACCCCGGTGTTCTGAAGTTTGTGTGGGCCTACTGTACTGTTGCACAGTTTATGCCGTAGAAACTATGTCCAGGGCAAGGTGTTTGGAAGTTTTGGAAGATTCATAGCTAACCACACTGAAGATTATGGAGGTATTGATCAGTCTTCTCATATTTTTAAGCCTCAATTTGTCCTTTCTCCCCTCTAACATCACCAGAAGTCCTAATTTAAGGGGTCTTTTCTCAAACATTTTTACCGGGGGAGCATCCCCCCAGACCCCCCTAGTATTGTTTGGTCACCATTTCCACAGCCCCACCGAAAATATTTTCCACCAGCCGCCACTGCGTATCAGTATTATGTGCTGTAGCTCATTGTGTGGATTTATTTTTTTTTATTCAGCTCGTCAGTCGGGCAGTTAATAACAGTGTGCCATGTCTGTATTGTGTTTACAGTTTCCCCAATGTATTAAACTTCAGTAAAGCTGACATCTGTGCCGGAGTTTCTTTAAAAGTGTTTAACTGGATGGATAGCTAGCTTGGTGATAGTGAGACCTTCACAGCGACAAAGAGGATGAAGACTACAGTGGATAAATGTGACGTATACACTGAAGCGACATATATATGTTTTTTTTCTCTTAACAACATGTTTTTTGACAAGAGCGACTCATACTCAGTTGCGACTTGTAGTCCAGAAAATAAGGTAATATAACAAGAAACACATTTATAAAATATTTGTATGCTGCTTTTGGTTTGTAAACTAAATACATTTTTGGAAAGATAGAACTCTTCAAAGGTTTTTGCAATTCCACCTTTTTATTCACCTGCTGTTTTGACACAGTATTGTTCAGTGCTGTTTGAAAGGACTGTTTTTGTTCACAGAACCAGTAATCCTACAGCAACAACTGCTTGGCCCATCTGTCTGTCATTAAGATATTGTTGTATTGTAACTGGCAGCTTAGTAAATCCAGAAAAATTCTGTACAAGCTGAGCCTCAATTGCGATGCATAAATGTCAAAATGTTAGTTTGAGCCTTACCTCACCATTCACATAGAAGAGTGATCTTATAAAGGTTGACAAATTATTCATTTGTGGGAGAAACCATCCTAATTTAAACCATTATGATCAAAATGAGTCTTGAAAGTTAGTTATGTTCCATGTTGCTCACAACAAATCAAATGTTCAACAGACCGTAACTGTAGTTAATGTGAACACAAATGAGTTTAGCTAAAGAGTAGTTTAGTTTGTTCAATAACAACTGATGGTAATTAAATAAATGAGGCAGAATGTTGCCATTGGAAATAGCCCAGGGGCAAAATAAACTATAAGGAACAACCAAGACTGTAATGAGACAATGGTGAAAGCTGTTAAAAAAATGCAATGGTTTATATTCACTGCTGCCACAAAAACAGCAGGTCAATCTAAAACCGTCCTATTAAAAAACTGATGTTAGCATTGAAACAGTAACAAAGTAAATCAAGTAAAAGAGTTAAGCTCTTTCTCTCACATGTAATAATGGTATTTTAAAGCATTGGAGCTGTGATTTACTGGGTGAAGAATTGACAGTAAAGAGCATATTCAGTAGATTGTGGTGGATTGATTCACCCTTTGATTTGTAGACAAATATACAAAGAACTTTGTTTTGTGTCACATACGTGTGAATTTATATACACTATACATAAAATATATGTATGCATGTGTGTCAGTCTTCTGGGTATTCTGTACAAGTGAGTCGGCCGGGCTGCAGTGTTGATTAATTTACTTCAGCAGAAACAATCTAAATGTAAATTGGACCTCTCTATCTGTTCCTCCCAGACTATAATGAGAAGAGAATTTAAATGACCTGGTTGCTTTTTATCCATTCCGATGCAAAGTTGAAATTTAAAGAGAAACGACTTCTGTGTAAACAAAAATAAATGATGTAAAGGAATGGGGGATAAACTCACAGGTTTTTGCTGGAGACTTAAACAATATAAAGTTTTTTTGGAATTGTCGTAAGCGTTTTTCAACGGTTTGAGTAGAACTGTGCCAGGATCAGCTGTTTCAAAAGCACAACATGTTGTAGCTTTTCAGAGAAACTACCAGGACTTTAGACTCTCTTGATTGATATGTTGTGGCCAAAAATAAAAATCGAAATTCT